GTGGAGATCGAGAATGAGACACTCTGTGCTCTGGGAAAACTGGCAAAACAGGCCTTCAGGTAGTTAGATATTTTCTGGGAAGATATTATGAGCCCAAAGTCTTGCACCTCCTCAGATCTAGGAAAAAGGCACTAAAGCCATTCATGGTGACATCTGCTTTGGCCATAAAGGAGAGCTGTCTTACAAAACCACATGGCTCTTGACATCCTTACAGCCTCTCAAGGGGGAACATCGGCAGTTCCACGTGCTGAGTGCTGTGCTGAACCCTGGATGAGTCAGACACGTCAGCGCTTACAGCAAAGCAAAGACTGGTTCTCCCATGCCTTTTCCTGGATCCCTGAAGAGATAAGGTCTTTCTTTTCAGACATCTGCTGGGTTTATCCATTTATCTTGGTATATGCTTAGTTCTGTTTTGTATTCCTCTCTTACAAAAACGGTTATCTCTCTTTGAGGTCCAAGAATTTAGGGAAAAACACACCCTTCCTACCAAGATTGCCGCCATGAACCAAGCCAACATCCTGGTGATGCAGCCCTTGGATGTCCCTGGGGTCTCCTTCCGCTCCCACCTTTAAGGCTGCAGGGATGCCAGGGCCCCGTAACCCCGAACAGACTGGCGTGATAGGCAGGGCCAGCGCGACGCCCTCATTCGGCAAGAGGTAGATACGGAAGAAGAGAAATTCACCCCTATTCCAAAGATTTGCCACTGCCAATCTGTCTGGGAGTGGGGGGCATGTGGGGCCAACAGGCACCCCTCTAAGTCCAATGACCCCTATTCCTGGGCTTCCAGATGTCTGTCTGCAGTTCCTGAGCAGATAAAGTGCATTCTTCATTGGGCATGTTTGCCCTAACAAACAGCCCGAGGTAACGCCTCATCTCACAGTGGCGCAGGCTGGCTTGTTGCAGCACACTTTATTGGAGTGATAAACCCCACAGCCCTTCACGGACCCTCAACTTCTGGCCTCACCTACAACCAGTCAGAGACTTGTGCACAAGCCGATCAGCCACCTTGTGATCCTATCTTATAAAACACCCCAACGACCGGCCCTTGGGGCTCACACAGGCACCCCTTGTCTGTGTGGCCCACTGCTGTCTGTGGCAGCGCGCCCCTAGCAAACTTCTCCTTCCACTTTTCTTTGTCTCTGGTAAATTCTTTCACCACCCGTGACACCAGCCTGCCTTGTCCTTGACAATTTCTGCATATTAATCGTGTATCCTGCTACTTTGCTGAATCCATTCATCGGTTCTAGTAGTTTTTATGTGGAGCCTTTAGGATTTTCTGCATAGAGTATCATGGCATCTGCGTATAATGACAGTTTTACCTCTTCCCTTCCAGTTAGGATATCCTTTATTTCTTTTTCTTGTCTGATTGCTGTGGTTAGGACTTCCAGTACTATGTTGAATAGAAGTGGTGAGAATGGGCATCCTCGCCTTGTTCCAGAATTTAGTGGGAAGGCATTCAGCTTTTCATCCTTTAGTATTATGTTGGTTGTGGGAGAAAATTCTTGATCATGTCCTCTGGTGCACCAGCAAGGGCTGTGTATATGCAGGGGTGCAATTGCAGGGGTGGAGGGTCTGTATGCAGTGCCTTTTACTCAGTATAGCCAAAAAATAGTTCTTCCAGTTTACTGTGGTGTCCATAAGGTAGAGCAGCATGTTTTCAGGGGTCAATGTAGGCTTAGGGAAGGGGACTCTTGGGTGCCGACAAGCTGGTAAGCCCTGAGATTTAACATTGGGAAATTTCTACCCCTAAGTATAGTCATTTATATGGTAATTCACAGAGCCCTGCACAGACTTGATAGTTTATCTCCAGAGCTGAGCTTCTTAGGTTGGAAACATTCGCCCAGTTATTAGCTAACACTCCAGGAGACAGCTTCCTCCTATAGGACACAGGAGAACCAAGAGAACTTGAGGTGATCTCACCACATCCCAGGGGACTTGGCATCTTGGCCAGAGCACGTGGGCTTGGGGGATTTCTTAGGCATGTGCCCTTCTCTGGCGGCAGAATCCAAGTTTGTCAGCCTTGGATTCAAGGCCATAGGGTGTGACTGACTGGAGGCAGCCAAGTCCTGGTTGGAGTTTTGTTTCTCTCTCTGCTTGTTCTTTCTTCTGCCAATACTTGTTTTCATTTTTGCAAATGATTGGTTACATAATGTCTTACAAGCGTTCAAAATTTGCAGTGTAAAATGATACAAGGAAAACTCTTGCTCCCACTCCTGACTCCTGCTTGCCCAGTCCCCCCTGAAAGGTAACCACTTTTGTCCATTTCTTATCTATCCTTCTAGAACTTTCTTTATATACAAGCAAAAATGATATAAAATCTTAGTTAAGCCTCCTGTTGTAGAAGAGGGCATGGGCTACCCATGGTTCTGCCATTGCTTTTTTACAATGCGTTATTACACCGGACGTTTCATTGTTCTTTTTAAAAAAATTATTTTATTTTATTTTTAAGAATTTTATTCTATTGTATTCTACAATAGTTATTCATCATCTACAAGCACCGATCCTCTATGCTGAGGGCTGGCGTTAAAACAGGCCCAGCCTTCAGGAAGACTACAGTTTTAGGGCTGACAGCAAATAATTATGATACAATATTGCAGAAGCTGTTCCTTCCAAAAATATTTCTTGAGTCTCAACCACTTGTCACGCACTGCTCTGGGCACAAGGGAGGTGATGGTGAAAAACGGATGAAAACACAGATGGAAACCCCAGCCCCATGGCACTCCCATCCCAGCGGAGCTGATGTTCTGGCCCTGTGATCGTGGGGGCTGTGGGGCACATGCTGGGGCCCCTAACCTGGTCTTGGGATGAGGGAAGCCTCACTGGAGGAAAATGATGCTTTAGCTGATCACTAATAGCTGAGGAGGAGTTAGCCCAGTGAAGCACCAGAGAGGGGCCAGTGTTTCCAACACAGGTCCGCCTGCCAGGCAGGGCAGGGAAGCGAGAGGCATCCCTGGGGACTGAGAGCAGGTCCTCTATTTGCAGCATCAAGAGAAGTTGTGGCCAGAGCTGAGCCCTGACGAGCAGGCGGTCGCTGGCGGTGGAGGGCCTTGCAGATCACATGAAGAACTTGTCCCTGTGAATGTCACTGTGATGGTTGCCATTTGGAGCAGCTAGGGAAAGGGACAAGAAGGGAAGGCAGTGTGGTCCAGGCAAGGCATGTGATTGGCTGGACCCTTCGGAGCAGAAGATGAAGGGAGAAGCGAGTTAAGGGAGACAGTGACGAGGTGGTGTTGACGGGACTTGGTGGGATGTGAGGGGGAGGGAGAGGAAGCCTCAGTTCCCTTATCTGAAAACCGAGGCTACTGCCCCTCCTCTGTGGGCGGTTCCGGGAATTTACTGATACAAGGAAGGCTCTTGGCGGTATTACTGCCTCCCACGGCCAACACCCTCTTACCTGGGAGTTTTTGTTTTTGTTTTTGTTTTGTTTTGTTTTTGCTCCCTTCCAAGCTCATAGAGCTTATTTATAATTTTCCTGTTCTTCAACAAAGGAAATCTGTCCGATCTTCCAAGCCCTTGCTCCCCTCCCCGCCACACACACACACACACACACACACACACACACACACACACACACTCACACACACAGTCTGGTACTGGCCATTGCCCTCTACTAGACCTACACTTCCCGCCTAGCCTGTCCCCTGCCCCAGCACACCCTCGAGGGAGCCTAAGGCGCGCACGCCACAGGGCTGGCCTCACGCTGGCCTGCTGTCCCAGCTGGGTCTGCCGTGCGTGGCTGTTAGTTTTGGGTGTCGCTGCCAGCGTGGCAGTTCTGTGGCTGCCACTGACTGTGTGCTCCTGGGAACAAGACCACATTGTGGGGGCCTGCCACGTACCTGACTCTGCTTGGAGGTGCCCAAGGCTGGTGGACGAGGCAGTGGGTGCCTTTGCTGAGTAGGAGACAACGCAGAACCAGACAGCATTTCTCAAGGTCCCCCTGGGCAGTGTGGTACTCAGTGGGGCTCAGCCTGGTTTATCTGGTGATAAGATTTGGTTGTTTTTTCTCAAGCCCAGGGGCATGTGCTCTCCAGAGCCCTGGACTGCAGCCTCTTTTTTTAGTTCACTAGCTGCCTGGAGTTGCCCCTCGGAGCAGGGCTGCAGTGGGTGGAGGGGTGGCCTGGTCAGAGCAGCCTTCTTAATCCGATCCTCTGCTCTGCAATGATGCTGCAGGAAGTGCCTCCCGCCCCTATCTGGCTCCAGTGGGCTCCACTTGGCTCGGAGTCACAGCCCCACATGCTGCCTCTCTGCCAATACCTGCCCCTACTGGGTGGTACCCAGGGCCAGTCTCTGACTCAGGGGTGGGGGTGAGGAGTGGCCCCAGTGTTTTGGCTCATCTCCCTCTGCGCTGGTGATTGGTCACTAGCCTGTCCCCTAGTCATGATAGGAGGGATTCTGTGGGCCCTCAGCCCCCCCCTCCACCCCCACGTAGGATGTTTGGTCCTGGCTCCTGACTCTGGGGAGATTCAAAATGTGTGGTCGAGGCCTGAGGTTGACTCTCCAGAAACTTAATCTCCCAGCTGCAGTGTGTCCGCAGCCTGCGTGAGCCTGGCCAGGGCGCTGTCATTTCGGAGGGCACTGAAAACACAGTGCTTATTCAGGCTTCCCGGGTGTCTGCCACCTGTGCTCAGAAGGACCCTGTGCTCGGTTTGATGATCCACTGTCACCATCTTTGAACTCACTGATTCTGGAAAAAGGGTGGGGCATCTTCCTTCTGCACTGGGCCCTGCGAGTTCTAGGCTGGGTCTGTTCTACTTTTTTCTTTTAAATTCATGCACAAGATTTTTATTATCACAGTCCGAATGTCCACTCTGAAGCAAATGATTAAGAAAACAGTCATAACACTAAAGACTATTATACAGTTATGAAACACGGTGCAAATAAAAAGCTTCCTTTTTTTTTCCATTTTACTTTTTGTTATCTTTGTATTCTCTTTGGTATCTTCTAAATTTTGAACCATGGTGACATTTTTCAAAAATTCAACAACCAAATACCACAAAGGATTAAAACAAAGACAGACACATTTATTATTTGTTGCACACATTTGGAACGGTCCCTATGTCAATTGTGGTTCTTGAGCTGCTGTATAAACACCGCATGTCCAATCCACAGCCCGACTGAGTCCCAGGAGGGCCTGTGTGATGTGCAGAGTGCCACCCCCACAAAGGACACAGAAACAGAGGTGTGCTCCGGGCCACCTGCTCCCATGCTAGGCCCATGCCGCTGCGCAGGACGAGCAGTTCTTATTTCACAGCTGTGTGGAGAGAAGGCGTTCTCTAAATTCTCTTGCTGACCTCCCCACCTGCCACCCCCCTACCTCTATGCACATCTTCAGAGTCGGATGACACTTGGAAGTGATAGGCTAACATCCCCAGCTCTGCTTGGAGCTCAGGGAAGGATATGTCTGTGTAGACAGAAGATGTCTGTGGTGGGCATGGATGTGGCCATGGGAGACCTTGTGGGGCCACCTTGCCCACTCCCTTCAGAATGGGCCCTGTCTACGCTGCCTGTCACCAGAAGAAAAAGTAGCTTATGACCTTAGAGTCTGCAGCGACAGAGAACCATGAATTCTCCCAGCCCCTCTCAGTATTTGTCACTGACGTAGATTTCTGGCCTGAGTCATTGATGTTGCACTTTTTGCCCATCTCTCACCAGGCTTAAGAAATTGGGATTCTCCTGCCCCACAAATCTCGAAGGGCTGAAAATACCCGGAGACAGAGAGCCAGCTTTGAGCATCAGCACAGGAAAACGCTGTTCTTCAAGTGCCCAAGGAACTTGTGCTGCCTGCCGGGCCTGGAGGGAAAGGAGCACTGCTGCCCTCTGGTGGCCAGTTGGCAGAAACTCAGGGAGTCATCCAGGGGGCGGGGTCCCCTTTGCCTGTCTCTGACACAGCAGCTTTTAAATTAATGTCTTTTCACTGTTTCTGTAACAAAGCAAGCTGGTCCTCGCCCTGGGGCCTTGGCCCCTGCTGCTCCATCTCCTCAGAATGCTCTTTGTCCAGAGTTCAGGTGGCAGCATCTTTCTCATTCTTTAGCCTTCGGGCCAATGTCACCTCCCCAGGGAAGCCCTCCTTGATGACTTTGTCTGAACTAGCACCCAAACCCACCCCCGTCCCTCTCTGTCCCATTACCTTGTTTCACTTTGTTCAAGCACGTACTGGCTCTTTGCAAATATCTGCGTACATTCTGTGTCTGTTGCCTGTCTCCCTCATCAGAGTGTCCGGTCCCGGAGAACAAGGGCTTTGTAACATTTGTCACTGGACCTCAAGGCATCGTACATAGTAGATACTCAAAACTACTTGTTGAAAGAATAGTAAATGTATCTCAACAAGAGCAACTGAGATTTAAATAGAGCTTCTGGTCCTGAAAACCGCACTTTGATGTGGACAGGGCACACGCCACCCCATTGGACAGACGAACAAGCTGAGGCTCAGAGAGATTTCTGGGGGTAGCCTGAGCCCCAGCAGGGAGAAATGTGCCAGTTCCTGGTGGGTTTTCCTGGGCTCCCTCTGTCTTGCACTCTGGAGGGGGCAGACGGGGGTGTCCGGGGCCTGAACAGCTGCTGATGGGTGGAGGTAGACCCTCACTCCCTGGTCCCAGTTACAGAGGGAGCCTGAGCGGCACCCTTGTCCAAAGCTGTGCTGGGGCTTTGCGGGGATGCGGTGGATGGGGTGAGGAAGGCCAGGCCACAGGAGAATATGACAGGACTCCAGAGACAGCAGCTTGTCTGCAGAGATGTGCCTCCTGGAGCAGGAGTGTGTCTGGGGAGGGCAGGTAGCAGGAAAAGCTGGAGACAGCAAGAGAATTGTGTCTCTTCCAGGACTTGGCTGTGACATTCTGGGTTTCATGCAGACTCCCTGTCGTCACTAAACTCAGCCTGTGGCAGGGTTGCCCTCCAGGTCTGAACCCAGTGCAGATGCGAGGGGGTTCAGGGCTCTGGCCGCAGAGCCTAGAGTGCTGGGTGGAGCCAGGGCAGGCGGTGGGGCTGGTGGGGCCGGGATGACCAGGGATGACCAGGCCCCAGGCATGCTCTGTCTTTAGGCCTACAGAGCAGGAGTCCGGAAGGTCAGCAGCATCGACTCCTGGACTGGTCTTCTGGTGAAAGCTTGATGGAGTCTGTGAGGTAACTCTCCAAGATGCTTCGATACTGCAGGAGGAAGAGGGGAGTCAGCGTGTGCATCCTGATGGGCCGAGCACCCCCTGCCCGCTATTTCTTAATGACCAATGGCCCTTGGGCTTTCTGTTCCCTCCCTATTGTGCTGTTGGGAAACTGAGGCCCAGAGGAGGAATCCATGGTCTTCCCCGCCCCCTCCTCCAGCTCCTTCCAGGGACCCCACAGCAGTTGGGCAGCTGCGTTAGGGGCCCAGGTCTCCTGATCAGATCCTGTAACTCCATTCTCCAGAGGGGACAACAGAGGTGACGTTTGACCTCAGAAAGAGATGGCCATAGACCACTCCTCATTTCTGCAGGGGACCTCTCCCCACAAGCGTCCCCTCACCCCAACCTTCTCTCACCATATCCACCTCCCAACCGCCCACCACCCTCTGTCCTCCCCACATCCAGGGAGCTCCCCCACCCAAAATAGATTCACTGTATTTATGGGTCCTTTTTGCTTCTCTGCCCATGCTCCCAAACCCTCCTGTCCCAACGAGAGCCAGAGAAAGCCCTTTCTCAGTCTGACAAGACTCTCCCCACCCAGTTGGCCACTCCGCACCTATGACCCACTCGGCTTGGTTCAGGGGAGAGGGTGGGGGAGGGGAGAGGGGGTCCTTCTTCCAGGAGACGGAAGGGTCTCTTCTTAGAGGGGTCACATCTCTTTCCTTGGCCATGGCTCCCCCGCTCTCTGAGCTCCCAGGGTCAATGTTCCTCCTGCAGCTGGTGGTGTATGTGTGAGAGCAAGTGTATAAGTGGATGCACTGGTGTGGACCTGACCTAGGCAGAGCCCCCAGTGGGGCCGTCTGTCTCAAGTGCCCCTCTGAGGGGACAGCTTCCAGAATGGCGGTTGTGCCTTCACTGATTGTTTTCTCCTCCACATCTGCCGGGCTCTGGCTGTGGTGAATGTCAACCAAACCCTTCATGCCCATGACCCCGGGCCCCAGGAGGCTGTTAGGCTTGCCCACTGCACCCTTGTGATGGGGGCCCCCAAGGCACATGGGAGAAGGGTCCCCTGAGGCCCCATCACTCACTGCCACCTCCAGACTGAGCTCTAATTTAGCCTGACTGCACAGAGCCCGCGGCGCTGGGCCTGGGACCCAGCCCTTCTTCACAGAGTCTGCTTCTTGGGGAGCCCTCATTTCTCACCTGCTCCCGGGTAGGGTCTCGGGGCCAGAAGAGCCCCAGTGTCCTTAGTCAGCCTGGGTGGTGGGTCCTGAGTATCCCTCAGCAAATTCTTTTGAGCTCTTAGAATTTTATTTGTTTTATATATATATAATTTTTTTTAATAGGAAGGGTTAGTGTTGGGGAGCGGGGAGCAGTCTCTCCCAGTGAAAGCCTGTCCCTCCGGGGATGTCTCCGCCCCCAGCTCCATCTCCCGGGGGAGGATCCTAGCCGGCTGCCCGCAGACCCGGCCCGGTGCCCCGCGCCTCCCCCAGCGCCTCCCCCTGGGAGAGGAGGTGTCTGGGGAGAGAAAACGCCCCGAGGCTCCTTCCGCCAGCTCCGCCCGGGCCCCGGGTGCCGGCCCGGGTCTGCCTAGCGCCGGACACCGTCCAGCCCTCCTGCCGGCCCCTTCTGCAGGCGCCCTCGCGCCACTGAGCTAACTGTAGTCAAAATCCTGCCATTTCTGAGCCTCCCAGGGATGGACAAGGAAGAGCAGAGTGTTACTATTTGAGTCCCTTTCCAAGCTGACTGATTCATTTCTCCCGGAAAGACAGGCTTTTGAACGGATTCTCTTATTTTGGTACTTCCCTGGTTGCCCGTCGCACCGTGAAAGCCAGAGAACTTTCCTACTTGGCTCTTTCGGACCCAGAGGGGGCAGGCCGGTGGGCTCGCCGCCGCCGAGGGTGCCCCACCCTCACGTCCACACAAGGCGCAGCTGGGACCGGGAACCCGAAGCCCTGCCTCGTCTGCGATGCCAGGCTTCGGGGAGGGCTGCCGAGGGCCGGGCAGCTGCGGGCTTTCTCAGCTGCTGCCCCGGGAAGGTGTGAGACACGCCCTCCTTCATTACACCGGCAAAGCCTGAGGTCTTCACGCCACCTCTCTTCACCCCGTTATATTCCCACCCTCCCCAGGTCCAAGGAGCCCCAAGCTCTTCTCATTCCTGACATCATCTCACGTGATGCCGGCACCATCTTGCTCCTGGGGTTTCCTGCAAAACTTCCAAGTATGGGGCAGGTCATAATTAGGATGCCCGTGTAATTCTTTTCTCCAGACCCCGGTCCTCTTGGCAAACAAGTAAATTAACACTGTAATAAACTAAAGCATCATTTCAGTGGAGATGCGACGTGGGAGTCTGTCCCTCCCAGCCTGGTCACCTCCAGGGCCCTACCTTTAGATTCTGCATCCTGAGGACCTTAGAAGGGCCCTATAATTTCACTAAGCTCACCTGCTAGTCATCCTGCTTCCCTCCCGGACACGGCAACTTTGTCCTTCTCCAATGAATCCTAAAGGAACTGGGCCACCACGCTGCGGCTCACACCACCAGGGCCCAGGCTGACCAGCCCCGCAGGGATGGTATTGCCAACTTGGTAAGAGCAAAATCACGTCATCCCAATTCCCCCAAAGCAGGTGGGTGTCCCTTTATGATTATGAGGGCATTCTTTTTAAAAAATTTTTTTAAATTATTATTTTTTTAAATGGAGGTACTGGGGATTGAACCCAGGACCTCGTGTGTACTAAGCATGTGCTCTACCACTGAGCTATACCCACCCCTCATGAAGGAATTCTTTTTTTTCCTGTAAAGTAATTTAATTCAGTTTTTGTTTCACTTTACATATATATATACATATACATATATATATATATATATTTAATTGAAGTATTAGTCATGTTTTGAATAACCATCCTAATCTTTGAAAGTAGCCAGATTGGGACACTAAAGTAACTACCCACCTTCTCTCCTTTCAAAATGTAAACTGGGTAACTAGGCCAGGGCTCTGCTTGAAAATCGCTCTATCCATCCAGAGCTCACTGCGAACTCAGACATTCCGAGGAACCTCAGGGAACCTCAAATGCCACGCGTCCCAGTGGACCACTCTGCCCCCTCCTCTGGTGACGCTCCAGCATGCTCCTCTCTTTTCTGTCTTGGTCACTAATTGATTGTCCCTCCGTTCACCAACCTAGAAACCTCGTCATCAATCACAGCAGCTCCTGATTCCGTCTCTCCCACACTTGACCATCATCAACCCCTGATGGTTCTCCCTCCAAAGCTGCTTTAGTCCTCCAGGCCCTGCCATCTCCATCCTCTCACGCCTGGACCACTGCAGTGCCTTCTGGATCACCCATGCGGCCCATCCTCTCTGCCGCGTGGAACTCCCCGGCTGGAAACTCTTAGACGTAGCTGTCATTTAAAAATAGCTACCTTGTCTTTAATACCTTCTCTGTGCTTCGATATGATTTCATTTAGCCCTGGCAACCACTCCATGAGGAAGACACTATTACTTGTGCTTTAAAGGAAAGGAAATGTTGGCTGAGGGAGGCTGCATGACTTGTCAAGGACACAGTGAGTGAGAGGTGGGGCCTGGATTTAAAGCCAGATCCACCCAGCTTTGGGGCCTAGCTCTTCCCACCCGAGGAACAGCTCCTCTCACATCTTCCTCTCCAAACACTCTAGGCAGGTGGGAATGAGCACATGACCCCCCTGGGAGGGAAGGGAGAGGTCCTGGTAGAAAATGTCCTTGAAAACTCTTGTTTGACTTTAAAATATAGATTTGCAAACTCCAGTTTCACCTTAAGAATCCATGTGAATTTTTAGATTTTGTGCCCCATAAGTATGTTTGTTTTGGTGTGAAATGTTTCTCCTCCAAATTTCTGAATAATACAGACATTGCAGGAAGACACACTCTGCTGGACTTCAGGTCCCGGGTGGGTCCCTGAGTGCCCTGGGGGTCCAGCAGCGGGTCTGGAAAGCGTGGGTCCATGGCATGAAGCCCAACGTCTGGTTGGGGCTTGCCAGACCCTCACGGTCTGGTGCTGCTGACCTCGGAGCCTCTTTGCTCGCCTTGGCCCAGCGCCCCACTTCCCTCCATGCCACATTTCTCCCTCTTAGAGGTGGAGCCTGCAGTGGTCCACGGGCCCCGCCTGGGCATCTGGCCACGCCCTTCTCCCTGCCCTTATGCGGCTCCGGCTCACATCCCCAGTGGCCCACCTCCTGCAAACTGTGAATCATCTTTCAACATCCAACTCACACGCCACTTCCATGGATTAGCATCCTCGCACACCCTCATCACCAGTGCCTCTGAATCACCTCTTTGCCTTTGCCATCCCCTCCCCAATCCCTCCCCATGGCACTTACTCCATAACAGTCTATCTCTGGATGCCTTACTCCTCTACCTGATTGTGGAGCCGCTGAAGTCCAGCCTTAACCTGACAACTCAAGAATGTTTATGGAATGGAATTATTTCCATTTTACAGATGAGGAAATTGAGGCTCAGAGAAGTCATACATCTTGCCCAGGGGTCTCCTTGAAAGCACCGGGGCAGGATCAAACCCAGGTCAGTCTGACTGTGGATATCACACCTGTGAGCTCCAGACTTCTCGTCAGTAAATCTTCCCCAACATCGTGAGGGATTGACATGGGGTTGCCAATTCATTCTTTTGCCAAGTACGCACATGAAAACCAAACCAAAACAAAATAAAACCAACTACAAGCAGATGAGCTACTGTCTGCTAACACTACCGTGTCATGAAAGTGACACAGCAGGAAGGACGAAGCTTCAAGAATGAAGGACACTCCTTCTCCAGCAAGGACAGCTGCTAACCACGCCCAGACACTGCCTGTGGGCTGATGGGGCTTCCCGTGACCAAGCATCTGGCAGTCATTGGACTATGTTTGTTAGGATCAGCGATCACGGATCACCCTACAGGGTCGAACGGCATCCTTACCTTCCAGGGACCAGCCTGAGCAGGCACCTCTGTATTACTGACTGTGATAAAGCTGCACGTCCTGCCCGAGTGCTAGAGATGGACCCCTCATCCCCGCCACCACCGCCACTCACAGTGAGGGCTGGAGGCTGGGAGGGGAAGCATAAGAACAGCTCCCTGGGGGGAAACCCTGAGATCAAGGCAGTGGGGTGTATGGACGGCAAGCCGGAGCCCTCTCCCTGGGCAGCTGCTAGAGGTGGCTGCTGTTCCTCTCTGTCATGGACAACCCACGGGGCAGGGCCAGGCAGACCAGGGCCAGCAGGCACTTCTGCAAGAGGGGAGCCTTCTGATCGCCCCTCTTCATTCGCTCCTTTCCTCAATTCAAAATCACTACTGTGATGGCCTTCTCCCCTTTTCTAAGAAGCCCACCCTGATTAAATGTGGCAGAATAATGAAACAAGTGGAGCTCCTCCCAGTGCAGATCTCTCATGGACTCTCTCTGGAGTTTCCAAACTCCACATCAGAACGGCAGCCTCCCTGCTCTTCCTCTCCTCTCTCCTCCTTCCCTTCCCGCGCAGCCTGGGCTGCCTGCCCCTCCTCTGGGGCCCCATCAACTGTCCCTTCCCCACCACACCATGTGCTGTCTGAGGCGCCCATGTGCTGTCTGTCTCCCTTATGGGAGCGAGGGGCCCGAGCCCTGCACACATGGCACATTCAGCATGCTTGCTGAAGGACCATGCCAAGGGGTCTACATCTATCCGTCTTTTTGACTGGAGGACGTCAGAAACTGCTGCAGGCTTGATTATTCCACTTGGACCAATACTTGGCACCACGGGGCTTCTCTCCCACCAGTGAGGATTGATCTAGATCATCACTTCTCAAACTGTTACTAAATTAGAATCTCCACGGGTGAGGTACTAGACTATTTTTGAGAAACTCCATAAATGGTAACCAGCCAGATCGAGGGACCACGGACTACGTGCTCGATGGAAGCTTTATGCCTCTGGGATTCTGTAGTTCCAGAGCTGACGTGCCGTTGAACTTATTCAGCTATTAATTAATTGAGATGATGAGCAACCCTTTCCCACCCACGTCCCTACCCACACCTTTGCTGGACGCTCCTAAGTTCCCCCCTCCTAGGGTACAGCCCTGGCAGGGGCCACTCACCCTCGACAGAGCCCGACTGGCCAGCATCTCGAAGGCTTGTACCACATTGATGTCATTCTTGGCACTGACTTCAAAATAGGGAATATCCTTCTCTTTACACCAGCCTTGGGCTACCTCCTGCGGCACCTGAGTGAGGGGGAGAAAGGATGATTGTTCCTGTATCACCAGCACCACCATCACCACCATCCCTGCCATCATCACATCCCCATCATGATTGTCTTCATCACATTCCCTTCATTCCCGCCTTCCCCACCACCACTCCCATTTCTTAAGAACTTTCCATGTGTCCGTAACTTCACATGTATTTTTTTTAGAAATAAATTGTATTTATTAATGTATACCAATAAATATTTGATATACTTCCTTCTAAGGTTTTTTTTTAATTGAAGTATAGTCAGTTTACAATGTTGTATCAATTTCTGGTGTACAGCATAAAAGTTCAGCCATGCATATACATACATATATTCATTTTCATTTTTCTTAAACATAAAACAATGAGGTGGCTATTGTTAGCTCCATTTTACACATGAGGAAAGCAAAGACTGGGGTGTGTGGGGCTGAGTGGGATTTGAACACAGGCTTGGCAGAATTAGAGCCCACTGCATTATGCCGCCTTCTTAAGGTCTACACCAAGAGCTTCTTCCTACCTTAAATCTGTCCTCAGTACCTTCAAAGGGAGGTGGATGTGACTGGCACTAGCCAGGGAGGGATGGCTTCCCTCCCCCGAGCTGGCTGACAGGCCCGCACCCAGGAGCCTGCTGCTGCGCAGAGACCCAGGTCCCTTCTTCCCTAGGGTAGAGTCCAAGGAACAGTTGATAATAAGCTCCAACTATGGGCCAGATGCTGTGTTAGACATCTTAACAGATTAACTCATTTAATCTTCTAATAATCTTGAGAGATGGGTGTTTTTAGCTTCGCATTAGAGATAAGAACACCGAGGCTCAGAGAGGTTCAGCAGCATGCCTCAGATCACACAGCTAAGAAAGGCAGAGCTTGGATGCAGCCCCAGCTCAGGGCTCCCGCGGAGTCTGCGCTGCCCTCTGCAGGGCACTGTCTCGGAACTGTGCGTCTGTTCTGTCTTCCACTGGACTGTAGGTTTCTTGAGCTCAGGGTCAGATACCACACCATACAAGTGGAATGAACACATCTCTACCCAAAGGCAAATGCCAATCACAGTTTGAGGATGTTGGATTGGAAAATGCTCTGGCAGCCCTGTGGGTTTCTTCCAATGATAATTGGTTTAACTGAGTTTAGTTTAACTGATTATTTTGGGGAGGAGGAAATGACCACCCACTGAACATTTCCTGTGCCTGGTCCTTTATAACCATCATTTCACTTTATTTAAGGGAGCCATGGTTTTTCTCATGGAGAAAGGATCATTCTACCCTTTTCCCTGAACACAGGGGAGCCAGGGGAGATCAGAGACTGTCCTCTACCATGTTGTTTCCCACAGGTTCTGGAATGTCTGTCTCACTGGGACTAAAGGCACCATCACGGTCCCCTGTCTCTTTGGTCCTTGTTGCCTTGGCCTCGGGAGTGGCAGCAGAGCCCAGGGGCTCAAGGCTCTCTTTCACAAAGCCTCTGCTCTCTGTCAGGCTCGATTCCTAAGACGAGAGGCTGGAAGCTGGGGTCAGCTAAGCAGCCTGCCCTTCGGGGAGCTGGGATGACACCTCCACCCACCATGGTCAGGCTCTGCCTGGTCTGTCTCCCAGGAGCTGCTGCCCTTGAGCAGATCAGGGAGAAACCCCAGGCCTTGGTTTTGACCTCTGATCTCTAAGGTCCCCCTGCCTTTTGGGGCGAGGGTCCCCCAAGTTGGCCAGGACTGCTGCCTTCTGTGGAGCAGAGATGCCCAAGACCTGGTGAGCAACCACGCAGCCTCACAGCTCGGGGGAAATCCTCAGCTATTTGGATGAAGGATCAAGGATGGCCAGATCGCTGATTATTACTGTCCTCGCTAGTAACATGCAAATAAATAACCGTTAGAAATTAACATGTTGTAATGGCTCGATGGCATCTTAGAAATGCAAAAGGTTTTGTATCCTTTAAAGTCCTTTAAAAAACTTTAGAGCAAGGATGGTACTTACACTTCTTAGCGCTCCCTCCTTCTTTACATCCTGCCTCCTGAACAGCTCCCACCCCCACCAGGTGATGAACATTTTTCTGGGCACATCATTGGTGTTCAGGAATTACAGTAAAAATTGAAGTAAATTAAAACAAAATCAAGTGCCTCTGCTTCTCCAAGAGGCAGGGAGATTCTTTACATTTCATGGCGTGAGAAGCAGAAGCCTGGACTGGTGCCCGAGGTCACCCAGAGCCAGGAAGACAAGCGCCCTGCTCCAGCCCCACTGATCCCTGCTGGCCCGTCTCTCCCACTGTGACCTGGCTTGCCCGGCACCTGGTTAGGACAGACATTTTCTCTCCTTGTCCCCCACTCTTTCTCCATCCAGTTTTTATGGAATGCTTAAATACACACTCCAGAATATCCTTTGAGTTTGTGTTGCAAAGAATTACCATTCTTTTTATATCGCTTGCCCTCTCCCACTCGACCTCAGAAAGCTGCCCTGGGGAGAAAGTGCCCTGCACGGCACTTTTCACTTTTTCCTTTCCAACTTCGGTTACAGCGTCATGATTTTTAAAATCACCTTGTCTTTTATTTATAAAACAACAGTTATTTATAACTTAGGCTCTGACTGTGGAAATAAACTCAGGATCCGGTACCTGGGGACAAGGGAAGTATGAACCGTTTCAATGTGTTACCTCCATTAATTTTGCTTTTGGCTGACTATATATTAGTAACATTTTACTTTTCCTGTCACAGTTTTGCTTGTTCATCAGAGGTCAAATGTTTGACAAAATTAGTCCATTGTGCATAATTTTATTTCTGATGCTTTTTATTGTATGCATTTAAAGTGATCTACTGCGTGTGTTAAAATTCACGTGTCAGATACATCTTAAGCCACTATCAAAAATAAAGAATATTTTCAGAAAACAGAATCCCAAAGTTATAAATCAGCAGTAAGTCAGAAACTGCCTACCTGAGCAGAGAATAGAGAATTCATACCCTAGAGAATAAATTCCTTGCAGCATTCATGCTAGCAGGGCTTTCTTTGTAACAAACTAATATATATATATATTTTTTGACCGTTATCTTCTGTAGAAGGCGTAATGGTTTTTTTTTTAAAAAAATCGAAGTCAGTAATTTCTTTAAAATTATCCTGGTGAGATATTTACTTATTTTGGTAAAATATACATAAACATAATATTTACCATTTTAATTTTAAGCATCAGTTCAGTGGCGTTTAGTACATTCACATCATTGTGCAGCCATCACCCTTACTCATCTCCAGCACTTTTTCATCATCCCAAATCCAGCATAAATGTTTTAAATGTTCATTTACTTTTGTTAAGTAGAAAGAGCTTCCGTATTTTCCCAGCCCACACCTTGGTGATGTTAAGAAGGAGGATAATCATCACTTCTGTGTATTAAGATTGCCACTGCTTTATAGCTGTCATTGCCTAGAATCCTCAAACAACCTCATTAAATCAGTGTCAGGTCTCCATTTCACAGATGAAGCATCCGGAACTGGCCAAGGACACATGAACGTGAGCATGAATTTGAGCCCGGAGAAGCGCTCCTTCAGGTGGTCCTCAGTTCTCATCCGCTCAACCCTGTGCAGGTGAGGACTGCCTCCAGCCTCCTCTCCAAGCCCGTGCTGCGCCTCCCCATAACCTTTCTCCACACCACACCCGGCCAGCGACTGCTGGCATCCTCTCTGCTCATCCTCTGCTCAGTCTGTGCCACTTGAAGGCAGTCACTTCCCAGTCTCACCTGGGGCTCCATGATCCTGGGTTTCTGGATTAAAGTCCCGCTGCTCCCCCCTGCTCCCAGTTCCTCCTCTGCACTTCCCTGTGCTCATTTCATTACTGCTAACACTTCCTCACCTCTGTTCCCCCTGCTCTACCCACCTCCAAACCCTTCCCCCTGGGCCTACCTGCAACACCCCCATCCTTTCTCCTCCTCCAGCATCCTCTCTCACCTCCCTGTCTGGACTGCGCCCTGCCTTTTCCCGGAGGACCCCTGTTGCCCTCTTTGGTGGGGGCTGTTTCCCATTCCCCACCTTACTCATCACAGACCACAGAGATGGGTTGGGCTTGCCTGGGAATTTACTGCTTCTTTCAAACTCTTATTCTTCCCCTCTCTGCAGAACAAAGCTCATCCCCCTGTGGCTTGGCCTGGACCCCCTCTGCCCCTTGGAGGCATCCCCTACACTTCCCATCCTGCCGGCTACCCACTCATTCACTGAACGCTTGCAATCTGCTGAAGCTTCCTCTCCGTGGAGCTCCCACCTCTCACGATAGCCTCACATTTCATCCCTGCCAACAGCCTTCACCTTGTTTCACCAGCTTCTCCTCTCTGGGCCCGGACCCAGTGCCTCCATAAACCACTAAATCCAGTCTCCCATTCCGTGGTTCAGTCTCCTTTCCCCTCCCTCCTTCTGCCCTGCTCTTCTGACAGCCCCCTGGCCCTTCAACCTCTCCTTGTCTCTCTTCTTTCCTCCGTGGTTTCTCAGCGCCCCCACTGCTTAATTCTTCAGCTGCTCTTGTCTGAAAAAACCTTCCATCAGGTCCCTGGCTTTTAACCCCGGCACCGCTGTTGAAGGAAAACACGACACAGACTCCACCTCAGACCCCCAGTCTCCTCCTTCAGCTGAGCCCTCGGCGTCACCCGTCAGTTCTGGTCTTTGTCATTGACTAGCTCCTTCCCTGTTTCTTTCCAGAGTAACTGGTGCAGTTTCACCATGAGTCTTAAGCCTCCTCCTTGGTTTCCCTTCCTCCTCCCTCTGAACAGAAGATGCTGCCTCTTATTTGTGAGGAAAAGTCACACTCTCAGTCTTGAACTCTCCCAGCTTCCCGCCCCGCGACCTACAGACGTATGAAGAAGGACGTTAAAATAAAAGTTTCGGCAGAAGCACTACGATCTGATAGATGTCAGATAGCAAGTTGGTTGGGAGACAGACCCCCCCCAGGACCTTGCACATTTCCCAAGGTTCATGACCAACCATCTGTTAGGTGACTCTGAAACCCCTGGCACGGATATAGAAAGATTGGAAAGGAGGGTTAGACAGGATTTCTTTTGGAGAGAGCTGTGTTGTAGGTACACCCACCCCGCCAACCTCATCAAGAGGGAGAACACGTAAGGCCTCACCTCCAGCCAAAAGGGGGCTTCAGGAGAGGCCACTTGGAAAGGATAAACTGTGACCCCTGGAGTTTGGTGGCTACAGCGGATTCATATCTGACATGCATCTGAGGGATTTAAGGCAAAAGGCAGCAGGGCAGAGAGAGGACAGACTGCACTGAGAACTAATTACTCTCGCCCCTACAATGGAGCCAGAATGCCCGGATGTGCCTTATGATGGAGAGGCGGGCTCAGCAGAGAACTAGCCAGCCTGGAGCTGTTGTAAATCCCATTAGGGTGAGTGCCTGCAGGAGGAGGTAACACAGTGGGGTGGAGAACGGCTCTTAAACTCCTAAATTAGGAGTTGAGGAGAGAGAGGAAGAAAATGCAAGACCCTTGTCATGGGAGGTACAGTTAAATGTTCCCTGTGGAGGCTTTTAGGACCCAAAGGAGTGACCTGTGACGAGACAGCTTGAAATACTTGCTGGGTCTGGAAAGCACAAACTATCTTAAGACAGCACCAGTCAACTAAGGGTCTTCCTGCTCTCCTGACCTCTTCTCCTTCTTTTTGCTTCTTTCCTGACGAGGTCTGAAATCAGAATTATCCTGAGAAGGGGAGGAATTGTGGACACAGAAAGTTGGCAATGAGAAGCAAAGGACTGTACGCCCCTCCTAGACCCCGGGTCCTCACCTGCAGTGGCCCCAGTGGGGAAAAGATAGACTTGACTGTGAATGAACTTAGGACTTTGATTCCTATTTGAGGTTGGATATTTGTAGTTAGAGAATTGACACTGAATTTGCAACCTGAACTGACCATAGAATTGATAACTTCCAGGTTTCTATTTCCAGCACAGACTTCTCCTTTGAAGTTTCACTCTTATGTGCTCTAAAGCCTACTGGTCATCCCAGATTAGCTGGTCTACAAGCTCCTCAGACCCAGCATGTCAAAACCAAACTCCTCTCTCTGAGCAGGACGCTCTTCTTTATGGAGGTGATAACTTGGCTGGAAGTACCATCACCCATCCATCCATCCATCCACCCATCCATCCACCCAAACGATGCCTCAGTTCTACCACTTTTGTCTATTTGAACCCTCATGAAAATGCGGTTCAAATATGATGACTTACTTCCCCATTTATTTTCTCTATTTGAAACACTAAGACAGCTTGTTCAAACGGCTCTTTTTGGTGTCATTTGGGCTTCATTTGACACAAGAGCATCTTTTAGAAACTAAGTCTACTTCTGTTCTTTTCTCAGTAGTAGGCAATGATGAACAGAGCTCAACTCAGTGCTCCTGCAATGGTAGACAACTATGTAAGCGTGGTCACAGTAGCCGCGGGGCAGGCAGGTCATCTGTCACGTGGTTAATGGGATGATGCTGACTATGCATAAGCTAATAAAAAGTCTACATTACTACTCTCCCAGAAAATGTGTAGATTCAGGCATTCATAACTGCAGACCCTACATCTCACTCTGGTTAGAGATACTGTTCTACAGGTTAATTCAGTTCCACCTGCCTGCTTCCGATGCCTTAATTCTTCGATTCCCTGTCTCTAGACAAAATTGCCTTCAGTTCTTGGCTCACTTCATGCCATTTCTTACTTTTGCTCATGCTGTTTCTTCAGCCTGGAACCCACTTCCTCTAGGAAGCCCTTTCTCTATTCTGGGTTTCGGTAGGTGCCCCTTCACTGTGGTCCCCAGACGTCCAAGGTGCATCTCTATGATTGCTTATGATTTACCATATTGTATCATAATCGTCTTTTAAGTGCTCTGTATGTATTACTAGGCTGTGAAGTTCTTAAGGTAAGGACTACGCCTGATTCAGCTCTACATGTGCGGGACCTAACCCAGTGCCTGGCATGTAGCCAGTGCTGACATGTTTGCTGAGTGAATGAGTGACTGGTACCTGCCGGTCTGCCAGATCGATCTTGTTCCCCAGCACCACCATGGGGTAGGACTTCTCCATTGGGATGGTTTTGGCCAGAACATCACCCCTCCAGGTTTCCAAAGCTTCAAAGGATTCCAGGTCGGTGACATCAAAAGCCAGGATGCAGCCATCAGAGCCTTTGTAGAATGTGGACACCATGGAGCGGAACCGCTCCTGTCCGCCTGTGTCCCAGATCTGGAGGGGAAGAGCAGCCGCCCCGTGAGGCTGTGATGAGTGGCTGGAGGTTGGCCCAACCAGGTCAGTCACATCGTATCAATGTTTCCTTTTCTGTGTAGGGACAGATAGCCCGGGCACAGGTGCACACAGTCCTTTCACACACGGCCACCCACGTACACTACAGTATCTTTGCATTAACATTTAGCATCCCAAGAGTTCTTTCACATCTGAGCCCTCATTTTCCCCCTGGGTCACCAGGACAAGCATGTTATTCCCATCTGATAGATTTGGACCTTGGGGGTGACTTGCCCAAGGCCACTTGGCAAGTTTTCCAGGGAACCTGAGCCTTGGAGCAGGGTCTCCCAACTCTGGATTAGTGTTCTTCTTTCTAGATCGTGGATCAGCAAAATTTTTTTTGTAAAGGGCCACATTGTAAATACTGCTGTCTGTTGCCACTACTCAATTCCGTTGTAGTGTAAAAGCAGCCCTAAGACCATAAGTAAACAAATGGGCATGGCTGTGTGCCAATAAAACTTTATTTTCAAAAACAAATGGTGGGCCAGATCTGGCCCATGAGTTGAAGTTTGCTGATCTATGCTCTAGACTACTCTAGCTCTTGGTGCACATTGCTGTGTGAGTCGCTGTCCAGGGAATGTGGGTCATTATCAGGTATGTGTGTTGAAGACGGAGAGGGAGTGCTGCTCACCTGTAGCTTCAAAGTTGTGTCATCCAGTATAATAATCTTGGAGAGGATGCTGGCCCCTAGTGTGGTCTGGTAGTCCTCATAAAACGTCTTGTGCACATATTGGTGGAGGAGGGAAGTCTTTCCTACACTGAGGAAAAAACCCCAGACACATGAACACACACTCAAATACACACACATGCACACACACACGCACACACACACACATCCCTACCAGTCTCAGCATCTTTCCATGCCCCTCTCACTGCTGTCTCTCCCTGAGATTTTGAATTTCTAACATTTGCAGTTTGAGTAGCAAGGGACTAGCTAATGGACCTTAGAAGGAGGGACCAAAGTGAGCAGAGAAGTTTGCAGAGAGCTGAGTGCCTCACAGCAAAATGGCCAAGTCTTTACTGTATGTGGCAGGAGGTGGGAGGATAGGGAGATGCTAAGTGACTTGCTTGATTCACACAGCTACTTACTGCGGACCTACTGCTGAGCTGGGACCAGAAACCAGGCAGCCTGACTCCCAGCCTCTGTCTCCCATCTCAGCTCCTTTCCTTGGGGTGGGATGCCCTCCCTGGTTCCACTCTGAATCAGAAAGGGATCCCAGGGAGATGGGAGCACATCCAGGAGGTCTCACTGACCTTGGGGAGGGGCTGCTTCCCAACCCCCAGACCCCGCAGAACGTAGCTTACCCCAGGGCTCCAATGATGATGAGTTTGAGGTCCACCTTCTTCCGGGGATTCATGGAGGTGTGTCAGGGCCTGTAGGGAACCAGAAGTCATTCACATGCTGGCCAGAGCCCCCCACAGCCATTGTCACTGGGTCTGGCCTCTACCTTCCTCTCCTCCTGTGCAGATCACTGCCCTGGGCCCACCCCAGGCAATGACTCAGCTAACCATCACACACCTGTCCCTCACTTCCTTGGGGGTCTCCCCGAGGCTGGAAGGACAGTGGCCCCACTGGACAGGTCCACCTCTCACCTTTTGGCTCTACCAACCCTGCTCTTGGAGGCAGCCAGGAGCACCCAGAAGGCTGGACTGGACTGAACAGAGGCCTCACAGACAGTCAAGCCTGGAACCAGGGATGGAGGGCAGTGTGGGAAGAGGCGATGGGGGTGAGCGGGACAAGGGGTCCATTGTTAGCACTGCTGGGAGGCTTGGATGGAAGTGTGCCCATCCCCCAGCCCGAGGGGTTGCTGCTCTGGCAGAATCAAAAGGCTCTTCTCCACTGCAGCTGGTAGGGTGTCACTGGTACATGTTTCTGGAAAGCTGCTTGGCAGCAAGGATGTCCCTGCCCTCCACTTCTAGGAATCTGTCCTTAAAAAAATCTGAAATGCAGGCAAAGACCCTTGTTCAAGAATATCACTTTCCAGTATTTATTTATAAATATCCAACAATAAAGAAATGGTTAAAGAAATCATGGCATACAATGAACTATTAAGCAGTCATTAAAATGGAGTTTGTGAGCATAGTATAATAATGTGAGAAAAGGCTAATGCTACAGGGTCTAAATGAAAAACAGAAGACACCAAACTGTACATGCCATACCCCTTACTGAACATACCCCCCCCCCCCGGTCAAGTATTAAAATGAATTCCTACTTGCATGGAAAAGAGTCTAGAAGGAAATATATAAAAAACGCAAGTGGTTAATTCTGGGTGGTAGGCAACTGCATGATTTCAATTTTGTTTTCTATGCTTCTTAGCATGTTCCAAATTTACTTTTATAACCAACATGTCAAATATGTATTGTTCCTATAAGAGAAAACCACTTATACGTGTGTTTTACATATGTGTATATATATAATTATTACTATGATGATGATTTTTAAGAAGATAAGCAAAACTGTCCCAGGGAATCGTGTTTCACTGGCTCTTTGGTTCTACCTTTGCAGGCACGCACACATACACACTATTCCCAACTCCTGGGTCTTCTAACCTTAGATGCACTAGACGTACTCCCTTAACCTTGATCTGACTCTGCTTGGATCTGGGAAAAAGCTCTAAATTGGATGTCCTGAGGTTTTGGTTCTAGTTCTCACTTTGCCACTGTGTGACCTTGGGCCAGTTTGAGTCTTGACTTTCCAACCAGAGAAGGAGCCATTTGGGACCCAAAGGCCCAAGGCCCTTCTGGTTGAAATATGTTGTATCTCCTGGAGCTGTAACTCACTGGGCCCTGACAGCCTGGCCTGGGGGTGCCTAGTTAGTTAAAACAGAAACCCCGGGAGACCTAGGATTGTTAGCGCTCTTCCATGAGCCATGTCATGGCCCAAAGGTGATTTGAGGCTCTGGTGTCTCAGAGCTGCCTGTCTCAGGAGCCAGAGTTGGTGGCACTGGACCATCTTCTGTAACCCAGGAGGGCTGGGTGGACATGATGGGCAAAAGGTCTTCTTGATGGTCCATGCATTCATTCAACAAATGCCTACATGTCTGCTGCGTGCAAAGCCTTGATCTTGACACTGAGTTGAGCAAAAAGACGAAGCAAATTGGAGCCCACCCCAGGGAGTCATTAGGGGAGAAAGGACAGGGGCTTAGTGATTACAGCAGAGACAACTTGTAAAATGTCACGACAGAGGCCCAGAGAAAGTGCTGTGGGAATTCAGGGTGGGGTGGAGGGGAAGCCGGCCATCCATTTGGGCCCTGAAGAAATGACACATGTGGTTGGTGGGGGGCGATATTTCACAGGAGGGAATGAAACAATCAAAGCTTGAACAGGTGCGCGGAGGTGAGACGAGCACAAGGGAGGCTCAGAGAAGCCAAGTCACTTGTAATTCAGTTTAAGACGACACGCATAGTATACGGGTGAGCGGATGCCTTAACGGGTGAATCAAAGACCAGAGAAGGCTGCTCTATGCCGTGTTGCCTCTTGACCCCCAGAATCTGTGTGCACAGGACCCAGGGCACTCGGCTTGGGTTTGGTGAACCCCAACAGAACCCCAGTAGAGCTGTCAGAGGATCCAGAGACAGGCAGCCAAAGTGACAAGGGGCACAGTGGAAGAGGAGGGAACAGGGCTGCCATATAAGGACTGGCAACAGGGGTCCAGGCTGGGTGTGCTGACGCGGAGGGGAGCCGGTCACATGTCCTCGCCATGCATCCTTGACGCTTGCACTATAAGCTAGCATTTACTTGCTTGGTGGCGTGTGGGGGGACTTTGCTAATATGCAGATAAACAGCATGCATATCATTGTGAGGCTAATGAACGAATACATTACACTACATTTAGCACACATAGCACATTGTTATAATACATTTACTGGCACAGATTAAGGGCTCAAGAAATGTTACCTATTTTATGACTGTTATTAACACACAAAAACAGTCTGTGGGATTGGCACCGTTATTATCTCTATTTTATCACTGAAGAAACAGATGTTTAGAGAAGCTGAGTATGTAGTTCATCTGTAAAAGCACAGCCTGTAGGTGGGAGAGCCTAGATTTGGAGCTGGGATTTGAATCCAAGCCTGACTCCGGAGACCACATTCGTAGCCGCTAGGTCCTTCTGCCTTCTGTGAAACTAGAATGAGGCTCACACACCCTGCCGCGAGGTGCCCCTGTCAGAGATGCTTCAGGGCTGGATGGTTTGGGTTTGACATGGTGCTGCGGAGCTGGTGTGCTTAGGCAGGGAAAGCCAGAGGTGAGGGCAGGGGAGGCAGGAAGCAGATGTGTACCCGCTGCATGTAAAGCACTCTACAGACAATCAAAGATAACATGGAACATAAAAGAGGGCAAAGAACACAAATAAGTAACCAGTAGAGAGATCTTATAAATGATAGGGAGTAAGCTTTGAGAGTTGCTCAACCTCACTAATTTTTAAGGATATGCAAAGTCAAAAAATACTATTTTTTTTTTTACCCACCAGAGTGGCAAAAATTAAAAAGATTGATAATAATATTTGGTGTTGACAGGTGGGTAGGGGAAACACTCTTGAATTTTTTGTTTTGTTTTGTTTTTTTATCAGTATTTCTTTCTTTCTTTCTTTCTTTTTGGGTTTTTAAAAATTTATTTCTTTTTGGCAGGGGGAAGTAACTAGGTTTTTTTATTTATTTATTTTTATAGGAGGTGTGGGGAATTGAACCCAGGACCTTGTACATGCTAAGCATGTGCTCTGCCACTTGAGTTACACCCTCCCCCTAGCAACACCCTTGTTTATTGCTGATAGACTATAAATGGGCACCGGAGTTTTTGGAGGGCGATTTGACAGTATCATAATTTAATATGCACATAGCCTAGATTCTAAGTCTAGAAGTCTATCCAACAGAAATACACATATGCTCAAATATGCATTTTTACAAAGCTGATTGCTGAAGAACACTCTAAGCTGACTGTCTGTCAATAAGAGGCTCGTCATATAAATTATAATCCATTTATACTCTGGAATACTAGGTAGTTTTAAAAAGAGCAAAGTAATGAAGTGGAAAATATGATAATTTAAGTAAAAAAAAAATCACTGAACATTTTCTATACTATGATTACAACCGTATAAAAACAAACAACAACCCCTTGTATATGACTATGTTTAATATTATATTCATGCCTGTCCTGTAATTCACAGAAAGCTATGGAGACACGTGCACTAAACGATTAATAAGAAGTGGGGAAAGGTAGATGAGAGGCTGGGAACTGTTGTTTTATTATATATATGTCTTGCGTTAAAATTTATTACACAAGCCTAAGTTGTTATTGTAATTAAAAATATCAAATAAAGACAACATTTCTTTAAAAAGAACACGTGGATGGACAGTAGCCTAAAGTCATCTGAGTGTAGCTTCCTACAGGACAAGTCACTTCAGTGTCTTGGGCAGGAGAAGGAGGCCTCCTGGTAGCGTGGAGTGATCATGAGATTTGGAGTCAGAGTTTTCATCCCACATTCAGACGTTCATGACCTTGGGTGATTTACTTAACCTTGGAGAGTCTGTTCCCTCATGGGTAAAATGGACATCACTCATGGCTGTGGCTTATTCTATGGAGGGGTGTGTGTCATGTTCCTATAGCAAACTGGAAAGATTCAGATAAATGGTTAAGCATGGTGGGGGGCAGGGACCTGGTCTGTAGTGCCTGCCACTTTCTGGGGTATAAATACTCCCAGCACAGCTGATTTTAAGCTACCAGTGTGGCGCCTGCCCCAGTACACTATGGAAGGACCTCAAAGTACGTCTGGCCCAACCTCCCACCCACTGCTTGAGTCATCTCCACCATATTCATGGAAAGATGGAGCCAGACCTGCCCCCACAGAACTTCTTCCCTCCGCTAGGCATGGATTTCTCCTGGAGGCCACAGAAAAAATGCTTAATTCCTCTGCTACATGCCAGCCCTCCCAAGATTTAAAGTCTTCTCTTTGAGTTTTACTTGCTTTTTTACAATAGCCTCTCTCTCTCTCTCCTTCTCCTCCACCTTGGTGTGTGCATGTGGTGGATTCTGTTCCTCACCATGTCTTCTTATAAGACTTTCAGGATCAATCAATTCCTGGCCAAGAAACAAAAGCAGAATTGTCCCATTCCCTAAGAGATTCACATGAAAACTGGGGATAAAATCAGATTCTACTCCAAGAAGAGACATTGGAGAAGAACCAAGCTGGGTCGTAAGGAATCACACACAAGATGGCACACATACTGATGCTGTCTCAAGGTCACTGACATCTTACTACATCTAGCCGACATCACCACTATCTGGGTAGCTGGACATGCTCTATTGGGAACATGATCTATCTCCTTGTTTCTATGCTTCTGGACTAGTAGGCTGGTTCAGTAGTAACTATGTGAGCCTTTTTGTTTGAAAAATAAAATAATAAAATAAAATATCCCGATCCTTGGTCCCAGGATAATTAGCAGCAAGAGGGTGACCAAGACTGCATCAGCGACAATGGAGGGTGGCCTGGGGGTAGACACGGGCTGGGCTCACCGAAGAAGTGTGTGCAGATTTCAGACTGTGCCCGAAGTCCCTTCCTGTGTCCTCTGGACTCTGCCTTTGGCTGAGCTTTGATAATGGCTGTCCTTTTAAGCCTCCTCCCTCCCATTTAGCTGACTCAGAGGCTTTAAACCAGTGCATCCTCCTAGAGGCCAGATTGAGTCTCCACCCTCCACTGTTAAATAACAGTGAAAAGCAGGTTGGAATGCATGGCTCCCCTTCAGCCAGGGCAGAGCCACACAGAGCAGAATCGGCCAGGGGCTGTTCTCCACTGCATGTGACATTGCAGAAAACTCCCTTTCTTGCCTGGCAGGGCATCTATGCTCTAGCCTTGTCCATCTGCCAAAGCTACAGTGTAGCTCAGTGCCCAGGGAGTAAGAAAGACTGAGTTCATGATTCCCGAACCCCGCCACAAATTTTTTTTTTAAACCCGTCTTCTCAGAACTCTTAGACCTGCTCTGTTTTCACCTTCCCAGTTCCCTTCTCTCTCTGCCCTGCTGGCCCCAACCAGGACCCAGACACAATCTTCTGCCTCCTTCATGTTGAGTGAGGTGTCATGTCTGCTGACAAGGAGGAGGGAGGAGGGGCAGTGAGCAGGGGCAGATGGGAATCCTGAAGCAGGCAAAATCTCCCCAGCCGCCTCATACTATCTTCCCCTACTTTCAGCCCCTCCTTCCCTGCCCCCATGCCTTGGAAAATGACAGATGTATTCACCCTAAAAAATTATGGGGTTTACAATCTTGGGAGTAAGTTCGTCTTTGAAAAGAGGCTATTCAGGGAGCACAGGTCTTTATTGCCTCTCAGGAAGCCGTAACAAGTGTGCCTCACCCACCCAAGTCCTAGCAGGTCTAGACCTGCTCTCTCCGGGAAGTGTACCCATAACCTTGGTTTCAGGAGGCTTAGCCCTCCTGCTCTTAAGTTCTTTGAGGGTATTAGTCCTAACTCCCCAGGTAGACTGTCAGTGCCCAGAGGGCAGGACAGTGCCTCACACCTCTCAGTATCCCTTCAAAGAGCCTGACCTATGCTGGAATGCTGAGTCTTCAATAGTTATCCATCCATCCATCCATCCATCCATCCCTATCCATCCATTCATCTTGATGTCCATCCATCTAGCCATCCATCTGTCCATCTATCCATTCATCTGTCCATCCATCCATCCATCCATCTGTCCATCCATCCATCTGTTCATCCATCCGTCCATCCATCCAGTACATGTATGCCTACCACACATCAGCATGTAGGTCTGAGGATATAGACAAGTTACTGTCTCTAAGGGACTTGTCTGGTGGGGGCTTGATTGGTTAAGTCCAAAGAACTTATTTTTTATTAACCTATAATGCCTAGCAATTAGAGGACATTTTGCAGTTAACAAAATGCCATCATAGCCCAGTGGACTCCAGAGTCAGGAACACCTATTTGCGGCAAGCTGGGGCAAAAACCCAGGTCTGTCCAACTCTGTTCGTTGGCTCCCCTCGCATTGCAGAGCTGTGCTGAGAGACACATTTAGAATCAGAGGGACACTTTCCTACTCCAGGGGTTCCCCCTTCCCTGATGAGACGCTTTGGTTGACACGGTTCCATCTCAGAAGGTACTGGGCCAGTGGGGAAGGGGACTGTGTGCGAGCAGGACCCAGCCCTGCTGAAGGCCTCCGGTTTCTGGATGGCCCTCCTCTGACTGTGCTGCCGGCTGCATGGTCCTGCCACTGACTGCGGGCTGTGCAGAGCCCCGAGCTGGGCCCCAGCTCCCGGGCTGGGCGGGGACTTCTGTCTGCCTTGGCTGGCTGCCACCTCCTGGGAGTTTCTCCAGACGTGAGGGTCTTTGGGCAGAATCTAAACCCCGCAGCTGCCAGATTCTAAGGCTCCCTTGCCTCCATTCCTCCCCGCACCGCAAAACCCAAATACCTCTGGGGCCGCTGGAACAGACAGGAACCAAGAAAAACTTCCAGGGCCCTTTCAGCCTCCGACAGCCGGTGGGGGTTCTCTCTGAGTTTGGGGGTCTTCTCTTAGAGTGACAGTCTCGGCCGGGTCAGAAGAAAAAGGCTTTGGGAGCCAAAAAAGAGTTGTTGAGGCCAAGGCACTTCCTTCTGAGTTTTCCTCCACTCCCTCACATGCACAAACTTGGGAAAGTTGCAAAAGAGGCTGGGCCGGGGTGACCTCAGCCGTGTGGGTGGAGGGGGTGGGGTGGAACGGGAGAGCCCGGTTTCAGAGCTGACTGGGTTTGGGGCCCCGTGAGGATGTAGTTTACAGGGCCTGGGGGGATCGAGGAAGGGAAGGAAGGCTTGAGGGTGGGAGCTGGTGGGTTCGAGGGTCTGCAAGGTAGCACGCCGGTTTGTGGGCACCAGAAAAATCCTCTGGCTGGCTTTAGGAACTTCTGCCTCAGCGGCTGGAAACCATCCAGTAAAGGGGCCCTTTTCTTTGCTGAATTATCAGACTCACACGTGTCGTAGATTCTGTCCTGCCATCAGCCTTGGGGGAAGAGGTTCTGGTCCTCATGCCTTGCCCTCTCACACTGCAGACACATCACAGCATCACGTGACCATCACACACACACAGACCCCTAGGCTTGTGAGATGGGAGGCAAGTCCTGACACTTCCCGGGGCCTCTCGGATGAGAAGGTCAGACCCAACCTGGACTACTTACAGAGACCACAGCAAGTTAAAAATGTTGTTAGCGTGAGGCTGATTTGAGCTGCCTGGAACCACGCCTCAGGTAACTATGGTTGGAAGGTAAAAGCGGAAAAAAGTGAGTTTAGACACACCCAGATGAAGTGGGTCGCTAGATCCCAGGGGATCCCTTTAAGGTTTATAATACATTCGATGTGCTTCCACCCCCCACATTCCTTCTGGGATGGGATTTCCCTCCCTGGCAGCCCACTGTTTCTTTAATAGTCCTCACTGTCAGAAAGTTCTTCCTTTTGTCCAGTCTGAGTCTCCAACGCTGCTCCATTGCTACTGTCCACGTCTGTCTGGTCAGCTGAACTCTGCACTCCTCAAGGGCAGCCGTAGGGTCCTTGAACCCACACAGTGGCAGGCAGAGGCCTTGGTGAGGAGGTTTTGGTGGAACAAAATCTCCAGTTGAAGCTGATTTGTTTATCTCAATTAGCAAACATGCCTGGAGGGAGGGTGCAGTGATTTCCATGAAGTGGAGTATTGGACGGGATATGTTAAAAGAAAAATTCCAGGGTAAGTTCTATGTGATTTACTTTGGAAAAGGGTGCATCAGCCCACCCCTCAGGGCAACCACTGGCTTATGACAGCCAGCTTGCTCTTAAATTGTCGCCCTTTGATGGGGAGAGGGTATAGCTCAAGTGGCAGAGTACATGCTTAGCATGCATGAGGTCCTGGGTTCAATCCCCACCTCTCTTAAAAATAAGTAAACCTAATTACCTCCCATCCTGCCCCCCCACAAATTACTGCCCTTTGGAATGCCCCTACCTTGCCCCTATTCTTCCACTTTTCTGAGACCAGGTTTTAGATGTGTATGTGTGTTTATGTGTGTGTGTGTGAGAAAGAGAGAGAGAGACAGACAGACAGACAGAAGAGTATCTGTAGAGATATAGCGGTGTAATGCTTGAGTCTCTTTCAGAGCACATGTACAAGTTACCCCAGGCCCCCAGGCCCCTGTAGGTGCTTTTGGGCAGGGGAAGTGGACTGTCCTCGGCTAGTGCTTACAGCCTCTGAACATGGGACTGAAACTTATACTTTTAGGGGATGTTTGCAGAACTACCCTTAACACCTTTGGAAGCCAAGTCACCAACCACCCTCAGGCTCCGGTCCCACTTCCTCTGTCTATATGGATTAAAGTCAGCAACTTCCCTTCTCTTTCTCTGACACGTGTTCCAGTGGAAAATGACGTCCAGCCTCTACCCTGCGGAAGAGATCCTGACACTACGTTCGCTGAATTTCCTTCCCTTCTTCCCTCTTGCATATGTTCATTCAATAATCTGAGTGTGCCAGACCCTTCCTTTGAGGGGGCACAAAATGGATACCTGCATTTTATCAGTGGGAATAAGACGAGGTGCAAACAGTGATCTAAGAAACATAGCTAAAAAGTTGTGGGGATTTAGAGGATCTGAAGGACGGAAAAGCTTTGTGGAAAGGAAGGATTTGAACTGGAGTTGAGGATGCATAGAACATGTGGTAAGCGGAAGAGGGTGAGGTTCCATATAAGATGTGGTCTACGGTAGGGTGGGCCCTCAGTGGAGGGGAGCGAAGAGGCTGGATCTGTTTGGCAGAAGAGAGAGCGCACAAAAAAGTCTTTGGTCAGGGCTGAGCACCTTCACAGTGGGCATCCCGCAGGACTGAGACTCCAGCTTGGATTTTTGTTGCACTGCATCTGACATCTCACAGCCATAATCTTAACAACCATTGAAAAGGGTCCTCATGGGGACCGTGCTTCTCTAGTGAATGGGGTAGAAGGAATCTTGGGAGTAAAACTGTGCAAGAGAGAAAATGGGGGTGGCTCTGTGTGGTCCCGGGTGGAAGAGAGGGGTGCGGAGGACAGGAAGTCAAGTGGAGGCAAGGCCCTCCAGAGCCCTGAGAGTTGAGAGCTTGGACTTGAGGTGCGTGGAGATGAGCCACTGGGAAGTTTGGAGCCGGGCTTCATAGATGGGTCTGGAAGGAGGAGGGACCAGACCCAGCCGTCAGGATGCTCTTGAAATACTCCTGGTGGAAGGTAATGACTAGGGGACAAGGAAACAAGTGGTAGAAGCGATTTTGTGATGGAACAGACAGGGCTGTGGTGAAGGTTAAATCACTGACTTGCTCCATCATCCAGCAGAGGTCGTGTGTGCCAGGCGCTCAGCTGGGTGCTTGTATTCAGTGGGAGCCAGAAGCTGCCTTCTCTCATTTCCAGCACTTAAGAGGGTTATCAAAAAAAAGTTGATTGAACCTGGAGATGTGCCGGGGAGTGGAGAGGGGAGTGAGGTGGACTCTGGAGGAGCCTTGGCCCTGCAGATGGAGCCTGCATGACTTGGGGTGCGGGGGTGGTGGTGCCGCTAACTGAGGTGGGAAACAGTGAGGTTGAAGGGGATACCGAGCTTCCGTTTTGTCTAAATTGGGGTTGAGATGCCAGCAGACATCTTCATGACACTAGTCAGGTTCCATGAGAGCAAATTCTACGTGCCTTGTGCACGATTCTGTCCCCAGACCACAGCAACGGTGCCGGGCACCTGCTCTGTGCTCGGCCCTGCCTCCCCTCCCCGACACAGCCCCCAAGCAGCCCCCGCCCCTCATCTTGCTTCTGGCCAGAGCAGTGCGGTGATGGTTCCTGTCGGTTCCCGGTCTCACATCTCTGGATGCTACCACCTTAGGTCAAGGAGCCTGCAAGCAGAGTACCGACTGAGAAGAGGACGCAGGGCCTGCACCCCAGCTGGTGGGACCGCCGAAGCCTTGGCTTCCCAGCAGCCCCCCAGAGAGGACAGGGATACAGATCAGATGTCCAGGGACCAAATCCCCATGGGAGAGGCTCTGACCAACAGAGATAGGAAGGAAAAAGATGCCAGCAGATAGAAGTTCAAACTCACCCCTGCTCTTCCCCACCGCCCTGCCCGTGGTCCATTATGAGCTGCACTTGGTCCATGGCCTTGCTGGCGATGCCCGTGGAACCGAGCAACAGCTGAGGTTGTTGCAAATCTGTAGTCAGCTTGGAAACTCACCTCCTTGGATTTGTTCCCCTCCTCTCTTCCTCACTTCCTTTTTCCCTCTCTTGCTTCCTTTGAATTAAACTTCCTAATAAAGTGTTAAATATAAGCTTCTGACTCAGGCATTTAAAAAAATTCCCCTTAAGGAAACAGGACTGAGATAGGGCTTCATATATATTTGTTGGATAAATGAATGAATTGTAGGACCAGAGCTCAGAGTACATAGTGCAGGATGAGAAACAAAGATACATATAGGAGCTAGTGCGCAAAGGTCACAGACTTAGAGACTGCCTGCTTAGAAGTGTTGACACAGGGATGGTCTCCATAGGTTACACCCAGCAGAGGCACCTGGTCTCCCAGGTGTGAGAGAGGAAGAGGAGGGCGGGAGAGGGAAGAGGGCCAAGGCGGAATCTGAGACGCACTCACTTTTAAGAAGCAGGAGGACCGAAAGGATCCCAGCTGGAGGCAAAACGATTCAGTTATACATATACATACAGATATATATTTTTTTCAGGTTCTTTTTCATTGTATCTTATTATAAGGAATTGAATATAGTACCCTGTGCTATACATTAGGTCCTTGTTGTTTATCTTAAAAAGGATTTTTCAGTTTGTTTTTTTTTTGTTGTTTGCTTTTGGGGGGGGAGCAATTAGGTTTATTTATTTATTTTAATGGAGGTACTGGGGGTTGAACCCAGGACCTCATGCATAGCACGTGCTCTGCCACTGAGCGATGCCCTCCTCGACCTGCGCCTCTTTCAAACCTGGCCTGTGACGACTTCTCCCAGGAGCTGCCACACTGTCTTCTTGTCCACAGGGCAGTAGGAGTGACTCTGAGGTCCTAGGGGATGTGGGAACCACGACACGGAAAGAGCCCAGGGTTTTGAATCATCAGGCTGTTGAGCTGGGCCCTCCGTGAGTGCCAAACACACTTGCATTGTGTTAAGACACTGAGGTTTGGGGGTCTCTCTTATAGAAGTTAGTGTTACGTCAGAACCTGGCCGGTGTTGAAAAGACAAGAAGCAGAGGATAAAGCTGAGGAGCGGGGGGCGTGTGATGGTCCCGAGGCCTGTCTTTCACACACTCGGGGTTTGTGGGCTGTTGAGTAAGTTCTCATCTGGCTCCTCTCCCGTCACCGTCCTTGTAAGCACGTGCTCTTCCCTCGAGAGCTCCCCAGCCAAAGTCGCTGAGCCACGCTCTCCAGCTTCACTTAGAGAAAAGGGCCGACCTCACAGTCCTGAGACTGCTGACTCCCACGCAGGACAGTCGTCCTGGCCTCCGTCCTGCAGGGAGATGCGCGTGCCAGAGCGCTTGGGTCGAGAGCAACAGCAACAGTAGGAAGGACAGAGGCAGGGTAGCCCGGGCGAGCTTGGCACTGGGAGCTTGGGAGCTCTCTCTTTGTGTGCCTGGCAGGCACGACTCAGCTCCAGGCACCCACCCGCCCTGTGGTCCCACTCAGGATTTGCTTTCCCAGGAGAGAGTCTG